TTAAGGTTTTTTTGAGTGTAAAAAAGTGTCTCACACTTGCATGCGATATGGAAAATTTTATCTTAAATTAGAAGGAAGGTGGAATGTTTGTATTATGCTGTTTTAATATTGTCAGGGCCATCCTAGACTTTTCAGATCATGAAGAAGCTGATTTCAGCTGCTGATTTAGGTTTAGCTGCATCAGATATTGCAGTTGCAGATGTTTACTCTGTCAAAGTACAGATGACTTTTATGGAGGAGATGGTGAAGATGCTGTGCCAGTGGGAACTTGTGTCATTGCCGTAGCTGGGCAGTGGCAGTGAACCAGGTTTACTTAAACTTTATGTGGAAGCTCAGGCTTCCTGTAGGCTCTGCTTTCCTTAGATTTTCTTTTCCTCAAAGAGGTCTAATGACCTATCTTCCCACTCAGGTGGTCCTGGGAGTCTGGTTTTGTTATCTGAACACTAATTCTATGACAGGGTGGAGTACAATAGCGGCAGACAAACTTTGTGCACTGTGAGTATGGCTGGCCGCATCGCAGGAGAGAGATGGTTTGAAATGGAGTGGGTAATTGGGTGTTTGAAGGCTAATAGAGGGATGCTCTGATAATTAAACATGTCTTTTTGGGCATGGCTGATAGGGAAGAGAAGAACAAATTATGTGTGTATAGAGCTCGTAAGGTACAGATATGAGGGATAGGGAGGGTAACTGCAGTGTTGTATGTCTGTTAGGTTTGCTTTCAAATACTGAGAAAATTGGGATCCTGAACTGGAAGTGGGCTGATCTAGAACACTATAATTTATCAATTGGAAGAGGAAGTAAGATGCAAAATAAAATAAAGGCAGTACATGTACGTTCATAGTTCCCTTAAAGTCTATGTTTTAAGTATGATTCATATCTCCTAAAATTAACTAGCTCACTGAGCAAGACTCAAATTTGTCAGATAACTCTTCCCTTGAAGGCCAGGAGTTAACCAAGCAAGCAACTTGTAGTCATTGTCATTTAAACTAGTAAATATACTTATTTTATACTTGGGGAAACTGAAGCACAGTGGGATCAGTGACATGCTAACGTCCCATGCTCTAGAGCCAGCAAGACAAGTCCTTGAATTTGGATGTTTTGAGGTCCCCATCCCATGCTGCTTTTATTAGGTCACGTTGCCTCTGAGGATAGCAACACGTTTGTGTAGTTCTGAAATGCAAGCTGTTTCTTTGCAGAAATATTACTGCAGAATGTTACAAAACTGGAGAAGCACCGAGTCTGAAAACAGATTTAATTCTTGTTTTTAAAATGTAGCAAATGAGGCTTAAAAATATGAAAAGGCTGCCAGTCGGCTGTTCTCGTTTAAGTATCTAGGTTGGGACTGGAAAAATATTCTAGATCTCCTGATGATTTCCAGTGCTATTCCTTTAATTTTAAACAGCCTCACCAAAAAGGAGGTCTTGGTCCCAAGATTCTGAAAGAGGAATTAAAATCATGTTCCTGTGTTTTCTGTCATTAATTATCTCATAAAGACCTTGAAAGCTGCTCATGACATCCATCAGCAACACATAAGGAATTAAATATTTCTTTAAAGAAATTAGGTGGAATCTTCTTTTGCATTTCAATATTTTCTAAATTCCAGTAACACCTCAACTGATAAGAGAGAGAATTTTTCAAATCACATTTCTAGCTCAACAGCTAAAGTCGTCACCTCTTGCCTTTCACTTCCCCTAAGCATTACTGTGGCCTTTTTTGAAGTTAGTCCCAAGAAGCATCTTGCCATCTTTCTTTCCGTTTTTCTGCTCTATTCCACCCCTTACCCCCAAGTTAAGGTATTAAGTTGTTCTTCTATCACAGCTAAATAACATGCCATTAAACGCTTCGATATGCGTATAGACAAGTTGACAAATCTAAATTTTAGGAGAAGAGGCACCTTTTCTGTCATGCTGTTTTTCAGGGCTTTGCTATTTCATTTTCTAATGAGATATCTAGAAAAAGTGGCTGCTAACACGGTAGCCGCCATTTCAAGTTGTGCATGTTAAAAGCCAAGCGAGATAGAAAAGCTTACTTTTTTTTTCTAATGCAACTGTAAAATAAAAAACTTTCATTCCTCAGATCAGAATATTATTAGTAGTACTATTTAATAGATGGCCCATTTTCCTGGGTGGAATTGCTATTTTTGGCTTTGTTTGCAAGACACCAATGTACCTATGTACAGCAGATATTCCCAGTGCAAAGTGATTTTGTAACTTTTAGGAGAGCAAGCGCATGCCAAGTCCTACAGCCAGCACCTTGTTCTCATTCCAGGAACCAGGCTGCTACCTGGCATAGGCTTGTAGTAGTGCTGATGCTTTGCAGCAACTTGCTTTGTCAAAAGAAGGGTGTCTCTGAAGAGTTGGCACTTAGTAGCCATAAGTAAGGACAAATATGAAGTGAGTTTTCATTCATAGCTTCTTGATTCAAAATTAGGGCAAGCTCCCAGTGTTGTGCACAATGTGCACAAATGTACTGCACAATGTACTACAAACATAGTAGTTCAATTCTTATTCCAGAAAGTACATCGTCCGGGATTGTAGTCAGCAATGTCGGCTGGCCCCTGTTGCCCAGGTGACGGCATGATGACTAACAGCATTAGGATGAAGGTAACACCAACACTAGCAGTAAAATGCGCACAACGCTGGGGAAAGGGCTCTGAACTGATGAGGCTGGCAGCAAGGTTAATAGCGTGATCGTCATCTTATGTGGCATGGTACTTTTGAGGCCCTATATTAAATGAACGCTGGGAATACTCACGTGAAAACTTGTTTTGTTGAACTGGTTCTATAATAATATGTTCAAACTAGGGTTTTTTTTCCTTTTGAATGCGTTTTTGTAATTTTTCTCCTCTTACTCCCTTGCCTATTCCACTCATCAAAAAAAAAAAAAAAAGTATTAAAGTATTTCCTGACTCAGTATAAGATAGCCATCATGATCCTGTAACTGGACTGAAGTTCCTATAATACAACACGCAGTCTTTAAGAACAGCAGTGCTCGAACTGGCAATAACCAAATGTATGGAACAAGTTTTTGATAGTAATTTTAATTTCTTTCCTCTTTTCATCAAGGGTAGACATTTTGAAAAATCTTCCTAAATGTGTTTAGTTGTTCTGTCAATCAACTTGTTTTTCTTTTAAAATCATCTTTAAAACTGGTGTAGGAAAAAAAAGAATTCTAATGTTAAATGATTCCAGAATATCTTGTATTCTGTCAGAGCGGTAGAGGTCACCAACAGTTATGAGTCTTAGACCTAAGAATAACACATGTTAAGTGTAGCACATTTTTGCTCTATGCTCTATTGCTTTATTAATGCTTGAAATCAGTTTTGCATCTGCACTCCACACTCCTTAAAGTTATAGTTAGTACCAAAGACTTGTTCAGAAAAATGACATGTGTCTCTGCTAAATGCAACACAAAGTCACTGCATATAGTGTCCTGACTTGCATGTAATTGCCTGTAGCTTTCTAGTGATAAGGACAGTTTCATGTGAGAAAAATCTATATGGATTCTAGTTGCAATTTAAATTTCACTTCATTTAAAAAAAAAAAAATTGATCAGCATAGATAAAACTTCCTGATTAATGATCCTAGCAGTTTTTTTAATAGCTTCCATTTTGGTGCAGTGCAGTACAGTCTTCTGGTTTAACTGGCTGAATTGATATTCTGAGCAGCGAGTAAGCCAGGATGACAGAGCATCGGTACAGCTACTCCTGTTAGAGCTCAGGGAGGTGTGCTTAGTTGCAATTGCCCACTCTGTCCAAGACACAGTGGAGTCACGAACCACTGCTGTTCTAGGATACTACAGAGAAGCTTCCAACCTATATGTATACTGTTTTATACATACTTGAAGGAAAGCATTATATGTTTCGGTTTTTGCTCCCTATCAAGATGGAATGACTTGAGGTACAGAACTGGAAGTTGCAGCTCGTGAACACAGTGCATGTACTGACAATAACTTACTTTGAAATAATAAACACTGTTTCATAGAAAATGTTATGCTTTTTAAAGGACTGATGTTTCCCTTTTATTTTTAGCACATGGTTTTTTTTTGGTTAGAGGTTCTTAATGCTTTTTGTACAGCTTTAATATGTTATTCCATTTAGGCAGATGAGCAGCCTTTCACATTTCAGAATCTTATGTGTGCTAATAATTCAAAGTAAAAGATTGGTTATTTTTTTCTTAAGAAATAACAGCACAGAATAGATAGACGTGCTAAGTAAAATGTCACTGATTGCTTAGAAAGTGTAAGGCTGTTGTTATCATGAGGTAGATTCCTGCATTTTATATGGTTTCAAAAAAAGGCAGAAAGCTACTATGGCACATATGTATGGTTTTACAGCATATGCTAATGAGACCAGATCAAATTAAACAGGAGGGTATTTTTGCATGCTTCTGCTGTCTGGGTTTTAGATTTCTAGAAGGCATGAAAGAAACGCAATTAGAACAAAAGCATCGCAGCCCTCAAATAGTGTTTTTGATACTTTCTTTATAATTAACATTAGTTCTTACATAAACAGAAAGAGTGAGAGAGAGCTGCGTCTTTGTAAAAGATGATTATGAATTAATTTGCAGTATAGATGTTTGTTGCATGTGCTGTCAAATTTATCATTAGTTAACAAAGCTGGAGAAACGTTTGGTAGTTGAACATTCAAAAAACAGCCTATGCAGTCTGCTCCCTGCTCTAGAGGTGCCGTGGATCTGTGCTTCCCTCGCTCCCCTTGCCCCCTTTCATACAGAACCTTTTTTTTCCTCTTCTCAAATGACAGTCATAGAACTTGACAGTCCTTGTCCTTGAAGGTTTCTCCCGTTTCTGAGTAAGTGGCATATTCCTGGTAGATTGCCATCTTCCGTTTTTGTCATTATCCCAAGGGAAGTATTAAAATCGCAAACAACAACATGGTGGTTCAGTCCATTTTTCTTTCAGAGAAACATTTTCTTTCCTTACTATGCCTGCTATTTGCTTTCCTTCTTTAGCAATCTTAAGCTGCAGGCAATAAACATCCCCTTGCGCTCTGCCAGCAGGATGCTCTGACAGCAATACCCGCTCCCTCCCCACCTGCCTGCTTGGGATGGTACAGTCTGCAGAGGGGCTCCTGTAATGTAGCTCGGCTTATCAATCCCTTACAGATGCCGAACAGTGATTACTCCGCTGTATAATTGAAATCATTTTGGATTTGTGATGATATCTTAGCCAAGTAAGTAGCGACATCCACAGCATGAGAATAAAAAAAAAAAAAAATCTTTCCCCTTTCTGTTCTGAGCTTGTTTATTTGGCAACTTGCTCCTTGCGAAGGCACAAGCTGATGAGAAAATGGTGTGGAGACTGGGTCTGAGTGATGCATTAGATTTTGATTCATGCCCTTTGAATCTCTGGAAAGGTAATGCAACCTCTGTAGAATATTCTGTAAGGCAAACAGGGACAGCATAGTTTAAAGGTGCTCTTGCATTAGAAATAATTCATGGAGATTTTGTAGGCTGGGAAATTCTGTATAGATTTGTCTTTTTTAAAGCAAAATGGGTATGATTTTGATTAAATCTGTTGTTTAACAATGAGAAAAACACATGGATGAGATTCTGCTTTCATTATTGCTGTTAAGAATCAGATCAGCCTCTTTTTTCAGAAGTGGAGAAAAGACACTACAATGTGAGCAGTACAGTTTGCATTTTTTTTCTAAGTTTAATGTTATTTTATGTTAGGTGAAGACTTTTATTAGAATATATAATCCTCAGATGGGTTTATTTATAGAGCTACTTATGGTTTTTCAGTGTGTACATTTGAAAGTAAAGGGCACACACGTATAAAAAGTACAGTACCTTCATGTTGAAATGGATTTGAAAATACTGTTACAAGAAAAGGGGATTTTTGTGTAATTTCTTTTAAGTATGCATAATTTTTTCCTGTGGTGAGGTGTGGAAAGGCTTTCTGTGGTGTATGATATGATAAATGATAATTCTTAAAAATTGTTTTTTTTTTTTTTAAAGAATTAAAAACAAATCCATGCATACAGTATGGAAAAGCTTTGTACGTTTCACGAACGGTGAAATGCTTGACCAGAAAGCATAAGGTTACTGGAGTCATTTCCTATTATGTAAAGGGAGATTCTGTGCATTTGATCCCCGCTTGCGGAACGGACAGTTCGTCTGTCTGCATCCTCGCAGGCAGCAGTCGGTCTGTTTGCCAACCTCTGATTTACTGACTTGAAGTTGTCCTGTACAAGCCTGGGCAGTTGCTTGTACGTTGCACGTCGTTTCCTAGGACTACTGGGATGATTCCTGTAGGCAGTCCTGAAGCACTTGAACAGCCAGGAGCTGATGCTTAGCCCAGTGCTTTCCATACCTTCTACAAGGTAAGTACTGAGTTCCTAAAAGGGAAGGTGCATTCTTTCGTGATAAAACTGTTCATTTTACTATTAGCATGCGTACAAAGAGCTGCATGCTTGTTAGGACTTCTGGTCATTTGACCTCCTGGTTACGTTCTGTTAGTGACTATTAAAGGATTAAAGCGATGTTATACTAATTAGGGTGTTTGAAAGGTAGCTGGCATGCTTCTTGTGGAAAAATTGTGCTTTTATTTCTGGAATTGTTGGTTAATATTGGATATAGGCACTATGAAATCAATGAGGACTTTTTGTTAGTCATTCCTTAGTAAAAGGAGATACAGATCTACTTCATAGTCCACTTTTTTTTTTTAATGTCGAGGTGCCTTCCTGATTAGCATTTAATTTGTGAAAGGTCATCCATATGCATGACTAGCTCTTGTATCTTTCTCTGAAATAACTGTTTGAGTCAGGTATCCAGCAGGTCTTTGATCACATACAGCTTTTATGTTGTTCCTATTCCTCTCGTTTTGTTGGAAATTGCTACCTGTGAAGTGCTTCAGTTTTTCCTTGTAAGTGCTGGCCAAATAATTGTGAATATCAGTAAAATAGGGCTTGTAGATAAGGTGTGTATGTGTATAGTAATGCAGCATTTTTTGTTTTGTGGGTTTTTTTTTTGTTTTGCCCCCTTTCTCATCCTCTTTGTATTTCTTTCTGTATTTCTGTGGAGAATTGATTTTGGCCCAGCACATCAATGGTAAATATACTTGCCTTTTCACAGAAAAGGTCAATTTTTTCTCTGTTGCAAATGGGAGCTGAATGATATTTCTCATACTTTTCGTGTGTGTGTGTGTGTGTATATATACATATATTAAAAAAAAAAAAGATTTCATGCACATATATTCATACAGCTTTGGAAGACAGTTTCATGCTTCTCAGGAGTATTACAGGTTACAGAAAACCTGGTAATGATGAACTAGATGTCATACTGTTCTTTTGAGAGCCTCCGTGGAAGTCACTTTTGTAAGTGCGTTTTTCTTTAAATTTTACACCATGTACCTAGGAAACAGTTTCAAAGGATTAGTTTTCTTTTTCCTTTTCCCCCTCCCTCAGCATTTAAAATATACAGCTTATCTTTTCTAATGCTGTAGAATTTGGGATGCAAACGTTTTCCCCATGAAATTAAAAAAAAAAAACCCTATTTTCCTGTTTGAGTACTGCAAATGTCAACCTACATTCTGCTTATATATAGGAACATTGCAAGAGTGTTTTCACATTTCATTTATTTTCATCAAATTCATTTGTGTTTTCAAATGTCAGTTTTGTATATAATAACTTCTTGTTAGACTTTGAAGTAATTATAGAAGTCATGACCTTGTAACTCTCTCTCACACTCACTGAAACCTCATTGTACTGCAGCAGAACTCCAGCAGCTGACAGATCTGTAAATTGCACCACCTCCTTTGGATAAATGTAAATGCTTTCACAGGTCAGGCTTAAAATAATGTTCCAAAGGGAAGACAGCAGGTTATTTGATTCACCGTACTGTGGAACATTGTTGAGAAGAGGCTTGGCTTTTACTACAATTTTCATTATGTTTTCAAGGAGAGACAAAGAAGGATATTACAGTTCCTTGGAATTTAGCAAGCAGTGCTGTGCTTTTCTGGTTGATTGTAGAAAGTGAATGAAAATTAATTACACTGATATTATACATTATCTGATCAACTGAATAAAATCCATGATTAAAATTGCGCATTTCTGAATAATTTAAAGAAGTCAATTGAAAAAGGGATTAAAAAAAAAAGGCTGGCGTTGATTATGGTTAAATCATCTGCTCTAGAGAGGTATTTTTGCTTAATTCATGTATTAAAATTTGATGATAATACTTAATATAGACTCTCATGCTTTCATTAAGGTTATTTTCTTGTTTAGCCAAGAAGGTAGCAATTAATCCACTCTGAATGGAGGCTTCCTGTCAGAATGGCTCAGTTGCAAATCAAGAAAGAGAAATCGGTGTGCTTGGGATAGTTCTGCTACCTCTGCAGCACCTGCATTCCAGATATTGTGCTAGCAGTTAGGAAACCTTAGCTCACATTCGACTTGCCAGTGTTTTGTAATGTACGTCAGGGACGCTCAGTTCTGTATAGAATTTATTCTTGTATATTGCATATATTGGCGTGTACGTTTCTGTCTCTATATGGGTCTTATTCAAAGATAATCTATCTTTAGTTGAACAGTTGCATGATAGAACAATATTTCTTCTTAGGTTATATTTTATATATTTTTAGTTTTTTATGTGCAAGTACATATAGGTAAAATCTTCTAGGCTTTAATTTCACATGTAAAGCAATGAAGGTAAGCAATAGCATTTTATTGTAACTTTCATTTTGAAGTATGATATACTTGAGTGCAGAGCACTATCATATTGGTCTTTGGTATTTTGGGGGGAAGTTTTATGGGATTTGTTCATGTTTAGGGAAAAATGTGTGCTTTCTATGTCAATTTGCTTGATATATGATCTTATATTGTATACTAAAAATGGAGAATCACAGTTGAAGAAAAAGAATCAATTTATAAATAAAGTTAGGAATGGATGAAGAATATTTTAAAATAACACAGTAACAAGAAAATAGTTTACAGAGGCTATTATTGCTGTAAAGTGCAGGACATGTTCCTATATAACACTGCGAGTCAAAAAAATACGAAGACTCAGAAGTGATGTGGGATGCCGGCTTAAGCATCAGACTGTGCATGGTTGAGATATGGGAACCAAGTTACAAAATGCATATTTTTCTACCATATTGTATGTGAACAAGTTCATCCTGTAGCTAATGTTTCCTTGTTTTTAAAAAAGTCATTGCACAGTTAAAACATAAAAAGATTGTGTACCAGGCTGTAAGAGAGATCATTATGTGGTTCCTGTGTAAACCGAGTAGAGGACCAACATGAGTAACTGATTTATTTGAAAGAATTTGTGCAGTCTTAAACTACTGTCTCTCTTTCATGCGTGGAGAAGATGAAATGGGTGGAAGAGCTAACTGATTTTACAGAAATATGGAAAGGTGAGACTTGAGAGCTCTGGAGATCATCTAGTCCCACCTCCCTGCTCAAATCAGGGTCAGCTGGAACAGGTTGATCTGGACCATGTGCAGTCAGGTTTTGAATATCTCCAAGGATGGAGACACTACACCCTCTCTGGGCAACCTGTTCCTGTGTTTGACCACCCTCACAGTAAAACAAACAAAGAAAAAAAACAAGAAAAACCCACTTATGTTTATATGGGATTTTTGGTATTTCAGTTTGTGCCCATTGTCCTGTCGCTGGACACTGCTGAAGAGTCTGGCTCTGTCTTGTGTATTGCCTCCCATGAGGTATTTATACACACTGATAAGATCCCTCCGCCCTGAGCCTTCTCTTCTCTAGGCTACACAGTCCCAGTTCTCTCAACCTCTCTTCATGCATCAGAAGCTCCAGTCCCTTAATCATCTTTGTGGGCCTTTGCTGGACTTGCTCCAATATGTCCCTACACTCTTGCGCTGGTGTAGCCCAGCGCTAGACACACCACTCCC